CATTTGCTCATTTTTTTTTTTTTTTGGAAACCAACCATGATTTTTTTTTATGAATAGTTCAAAGTTTATTTGAAATAGAAAACTTTTGTTTTCTACATTTTAAATGTCACTTTAATGTGACAATTTAATGTGTCCTTGATGAAAAATAGTATTAATTTATTTTTTAATCCCAAATTTTAAACAGTAGTGTATCCATTCCCTTTTCTTAAGCATTTTTCAGCTGTGACCCAAACCTTCTGTCTGTTTCACAAGTTGCCTAAATTGGACAAGTGAAGAGGCTCAAATAGAGCTATTGCATATATGCAGAACTGATCCATTATTCTATTATCCATCATTAACCCTATCATAACCACCTCTACTAGTTCAAACAAACCTTCAGCTGAGAATCAAACTTCTCTAATGGCTGTTATACATAAATACCCTACAGGCAGATACACACACAATTCTGCGTTTGCCCTACGGGAAGCATTGATTGGGTTACTGCGCGGTTGCTTCATCGATTGGTTTAATTGAGCCTGGATTGGCTGCCCACTGTGTATTTCTGTCAGTCTGGACTGTTGATTGGTCATCTGATTGCTTGATGTATTGGTAGGCTGGTTAAGTTTGTTATTGAGTGCTAGAGAAAATGATATTTTGATTGTTTAAATCAGGTTTTTCTCATCTAGAGATTTCTTCCAATTCTCTCCATCTATCTTTCTTCCTCAAGGTCACATCCTGCAGTCTCCCTCTGCTAACGTTCTGCCCACGTTGCCCTTCCACGTGCTCCGGTCTTTGTTCAGCTCAACTCCCCTTACCACAGATGACGGGCTGCTGTTGAGGCGTATGGCTCTTGAGATTGGTGCAATCCACCTCATCCTGGCCTGCCTATCTGCCCTCAGCCATCACGCTCCCAGAGTGCCCAGCGGCAGTGCCAACTCCAGTGAGGTCAGTGTTAACCCACACACCGATTATGTTCCATTTGGTCCACAACAATCATCTTTCTTGTGACAACCATGAGAACATTAGAATGTAACCACACACATTTACATATCAAAGCATTCAACTAAAGACTGACTGTGTGAACTACACTGGTACATAGTTAAATGAATCAGAAGGGGAATTTAAAGTATTAGTTCACCCAAAAATAAAAATTCTGTCATTAATTACTCGCCCTCATGTCGTTCCAAGCCCGTAAGACCTTCGTTCATCTTCTCAACACAAATTAAGATATTTTTGATGAAATCCAAGAACTTTCTGATCCTCCATAGACAGCAAAACAACTACCACATTCAAGGCCCAGAAAGGTAGTAAGGACATCATTAAAATAAGTCCATGTGAAATCAGTGGGTCAACCTTAATTTGATAAAGCTATGAGAATGCTTTTTGTGCATAAACAAGTGATTATTTTTGTTTTCTTTGTGCACAAAAAGTATTCTCATAGCTTCATAAAATTAAGGTTGAACCATGGACTATTTTAACGATGTCCTTACTACCTTTCTGGGCCTTGAACGTGGTAGTTGCGCTGCTGTCCATGGAGGATCAGAAAGCTCTCGGATTTCATCGGAAGTATCTTTCAATTCTATATGTTCTATATGTCAATTCTATATGTTCCTTGTGTTAGTAACAGGCCACAATAAAGTAGTTACTTGTATATAATCTTCCTCTTAATTTTCATGAAAGAAATAGTAATGCCTGATTTGTGAACGAGTCGTTCTTTTGAGTTAAATATTTTCATTGATTCAGTTCACAGAACCAGTCTGAATAATTCATTCACAATCTGAGATCTGTTTCAGTGATCCAGACTAAAATTATAAGTGGACTTCAGGGAAAAATATAATGATAAAAAGCGGTACGAAACGGCTCTGTTCAGATAATTTGTAAGTGTGTGCAGGGGAAGGAAAAGACACTCCTATAATGACCTTAATGGAGATGTTTCTCAGACTGAGACATGTCATTTTATTAATGACTGTGGTAGCCACTCTTTACAGACTGCTGAAGGGCTCTTTATTCAGAGCCCTTGACTTAATGAGGAGAGGTGTGTGTGTGTGAATGAGAGAGAGTGAGCACAACCACTCATTCAGGTGTAGTGTAGTCCTATTAAAACAGAAGGTATAGAGAGGAGTTGGACGGCTCTTTTAGTCATTACATGATTATGGGGAGTTTCACGCAGCTGAAATGAAAGTGTCTTCACAAAGGACAGCTGCAGCACAATCATAATGAGAAAATAATGAAAGAAACGACCATCATCATCAGACCCCCAATACCAAAGCAAATGACTTTCATAAAAATCAATATTCAGCCCTCACAGACAGGTTTTATTAAAATAATTTTTTTAATTCCAGTGTTTAAGAGAAAAAAAAGCATATAAATGATACTCTGTGCAGGGGGGTGTGTCTGTGTGAATTTATAGTTTGGGGAGGGGTGGGTTCAGGGCTGAGGATTTGAACGGTGGCCAGTGGCCTGTAAGAATCATAATGGGCGTCCTTGGGGCGGCAGAAGTATTGGCAGAGCAAATATTAAACCCACTCGCTCTCAACCGAAGAAGAGCACTGCGGTCAGCGCATATTTATTCTGCTCTCTCTTCCACTCTCCTATTTGTCCCTCCTTCGGTATTTTCACTATCAACATCTTTGCACAGTCAAAAATGAAGACTTGTGATACTCAAGCTGGTTTGAGTCCAGCCTGCAACCATTCATCTATTTTCTTCCATGCTACCTACCATAATATCACAGGGTCCAAAGTAAAGTACACACTATGGAATTATGGGAAATGCACCACTCTTCTTTTTACCGTGCTCCTAGCCTATTATTCAGCTGATGCACAGCTTCTGACCTCATTGTTTCCCCTCATAATGTTGTGACATGCTGTCAGTCTTTAAAGCAAGCAGTAAATTTCAGCATGGCGTCACGTCTGGAACGATCAATGTCAAAAACCAGAGTGACAAAGTGTGTGTGGAAGAGAAAGTCTAGGAAACGCATCTTCCTTTCCTGTCTTTCAATCTCTCTCATTTGGAAGTAGCTTAAAGGGATTTTTTAAAAGAAATGACTACTTTTATTCAGCACGGATGTTTTACATTGATCACAACTGACAGTAAAGACATTTGTAGTTACAAAAATTTTTATTTCAAATAAGTACTGTTCTTTTGGGCCTGTTTACACCTGGTCATTTCATGTGTTTTCGCTGATCGGATATCTATCTGATTTGTTAAAACGTTTCCATTTACACTTATAAATGTGTCGTCGCAAAACGGATTTAAATCCGATCTTCAATTCCCGCGCTATATTTAAATTTAATGGAGTTCACGTCAACGAAATCAAAAGATAAGCGCTGCATTTTATTAATTATCAGCTCATTTCAAGATCAAAGACCGCAATAGGAGAGCGCGCGGCA